CCACCATGCCTAACGTTGCACAGGGTCACTTCAGCAATAAGATTTTTACAGTCAAATTTTCCTCGGGTGGTCCGTGAAAATATTTCAGTATGAAAGCAGCTGCTGAGATGACCCCGTCTGACCTGTGAATATTGGAGGAATAAAAGTGGGGGCTTTTTGCCTAGAACTGAAACTCAAGAGTTTACATGCTGAGTCCTACACATAGCCATCACATCCAGTCATCCATCCATCCATCCATCCGCCCGCTGTTGCACAATAAAAGATCCTCGCTAGGACTGATCACACACAGGTAGTCTGAGGTGATATTAAAGCAAGCTAAAAATATCAGCGACGCAGTGATGTTGATGGGCCACTCGCAGCCTTCAAAGGCATGTCAAGAGCGTCTGTGCAAACGTTGCTCATTTGGATACCTGTGTTTCTAAAAAGGATTCGCTCAACTGGGAAGTGGACCAGAGATTTAAAAAATCTCTGACTAAGTGCAAAGCTTACAGAGCAGCACATTACCTGTTCTGAATCGTTGTAGGTTCGTCTGTATAAAGTAACGCTACCAGAGCTGTCATAAACACATGATGCAATCAGAGACACGTTAATTAGTGCCGCTTCTGGCAGAAGCTGAGAAGAGAAGCAGACGAACACAACAGGGCCAAATCTCAGCAGGTTTTCACTGTAAAACTTCACATCGGCGGTTACCTGGCTTCAGGGTTTATATCTCTCCTAATTTCCTGAGTCACAAATGACAAAGGCTCTTTGATTTTCCTCAATTTTACTTCCAAAAAAAATTAGAATAAACCAAAGTTTAATGTAATCAGACTCAAAACACAAATTGCTTAAGTGAATGGCAACAACAAAATGTCCATACAATGTGTTTGATTCAAGCTGCTGCATACAACACGCTGAGATTTTCATGTTTTCACCTTTAAAGTAGCTCTAATCCATATTTTAACAATGCAAGTATAACAAATGTAAAGCAGGGTAACGATATCAAGGCAGTTGCTCAAAGGGAATGTATACGTTCACCTGAATCTGCTGTTCAGCTTTATGCTGCTTAATGGTGAGTTTCACATTATTGTTTAGCTGTCCAGTCCACAGCCGTATTGTTTCGGTTCGCCCTCACTGCTCTCAGAGCATCGTGTTCGGCTGCAGCTCTTTTCAGCAAGAAAGCACTAAAATTCCACGACCTGCTCACTTTTCCCAACTCGCCAGTGTATATAGCAGCGCATTTAGTGTATAAAGAGTGGGATATTTCCCTTAGGAGTCGGTGGAGACCCAAACCAAGGCTATGAGAATGAGTAGTGTACTTCTATTCACCAGGTGGTCAGAAACACAGCAGCGTTGCTCCATAATTGCTGGATGTGTATTAACGAGTTGGAAACTTTGATACAAAAGGTGACAATATATTAATCTGCTGTGTTCACAACTCCTTCAGGTTAGCTCCAAGTGGCCAAATTATTGTAGTTTTTCATTTTTTAGAAGAGCTATGTGCAAAGGAGCACTTTAGAATGAAAGCCCTATGCTTCGTCTATTATTTTTCTCCTTGAATGAATCTGACTCATAATCAATGCACCTGAACAGCTCAAGAAGTCCAACTTTGAACCCAGCAGCTCAGAAACATTGTTCTCGACAAACTGCTCTGAACAAATTTCTGGCTGATGGTGTTTAACGTGGGATGCTAATTAATTTGAATTAATGTGCATACGGGCAGCGCTGTGCCTTTTCTGTGTTGTTTGCATGTTTTCTATCTGCTGGCTTCTTTCCTGCAGTAACACTTGTTTCCTCCCACAAGACGTGCAGGATAAGCAGTTTTGAGAATGGATGGTACCGAGTACAGGGTAAGAAATTAACACCGAGTACGTTTCAGCTTAATCGAGCCACATCACATTCTGCAGCTCCCGTGGAATTGCGGGAGGGCGGCCGTCCCACAGGGTATCTCTGAGCTGGTTCAGAAACGCAGCACAACGCTTAGTAAGAATGACGACTTGGAGGAGACGTTTAATAAGCGTCAATAAATGACGACGTTTCCTCGGATGAACTCAAGTGACGTCCTCGAGCAGCGTTGATGCTTCATTATGCCGCCGTTGCTGTGTTTACATTTTTCATGTGCATGTAAAACGGCCAGAGGCAATAAACGTTTTACCGCAAATGTTGTTTTATTATGTCCATAAATGACTGAACAGTGTTGTAATGACTGTGACCACAAAGACACGTATTTGCTTGTGATGTGCTGAGTGAGGCTGACATAATTTCATTTGATCTTCGGAATACACAAAACAAGGTCTTTGTGCGTGTAGTAATGGCCCTTGCCCTCAAATTTGCCCCCACCAGAAAACGCCAATTCATCCCTGTCCCAGAATCACCCTCAGCCCCCCGCTCACCACCCGCCTCTGTTCCCACAACCACCAACACCCACGACATTCATGCGTGCTCCACTTTCTGAACCCACACACACACACACACAGACACATGCCTGTGTTGTTTACCGGCCTTCATGACCACACAATGCAGTTATTTGGTAACAACACATGATGAGAACTAATCTGTTCATTTGCTTATAGAGCATGATGTCGCTGTCAGCTGAGCTCATGAATACAAATGTGGCTTTTTGCTTTGATGCGAAACACTTTGACAAATCTTAAACGTCCCGGCAAATCGTGGAATCTTTTCCGAATGTGATATTTTTTTATCAATTCAGAAAAGCTTTTAAGATACCGAGCAAATGTCAAAACGGAAAAACTTTCAGCGATAAATCTCACGGCGCAAATACATCAACTCCTCCTCACGCTTATCGCGGACAACCTCCACACCAATCAGCATTAACTTGCAAGAGATTTCATCATCTGAATGTGATCGCCCTCAGTGTGGCACTCACTCTCCTGTCAGGAGGATCTCAAGGGGAGTAATTCCTTATTCTATCTCTGCTGGAGTCTGCGGGCCATGGTAATCTAACTCTATATAAATTGTATCCTCTGACCTTCCGCCACTATATCAGATGGAAGTCAAGGAGGCGCACCTCTCGTTTAAGGCCTTTATATTCGTAATTGAACAATGAATAATGGAACTTATGTGTTCAAATTACAGCGTCTCAGATGGAGGTGATGTCCACGTGGACACGCGTATGTTTCTGATGTATTCATCCCGTCATGCTCGACTTTTCACACTCTGGTCCTTGTGCTCACAGTCGTGCTTGCTTTATTTCTTGCTTTATTTCTCATCACTGTTGGTAATAATCACTGCAGAGCCTGACACAGTGGAGTTGCAGCAGCGGCAGCAGCAGCAGCAGCATAGCTACAGTATCTCTAGTCACAAGAGGAGGATAAAACTACACCGGCAGCTGAATGAGAACAAGATGATGGAAGGGATGTGGTTTTCTGAAATCGAGCGGCGCATCCACATGAGTTTCCAGTGCAAAATAATAGCTTGTGTAGCGTTCAGATAGTGGGATGATCAAGCAGTCGGTTGATTGAGGACTTCACAGACATGCAGCACAACAAGTTGAAGATCCCTCAGGACATGCAAAGAATTGAAGTGACGCCAAAAAAAGCAGCAAATCCTTACATCTGAGAGGCTGGAAGCTGATTAATGTTGTTTTAACTTGAAAAATGACTGAATTTGCAGATCAATTTTAGAGTAGAAATGACATAAACCATTGATCCAATAGCCACATAGCTGCACACAGTCCCTCTTGTCTGGTCCTCATGACAGAAGCTTCATAATTGGAATCTGGTCATAAGTGCTTTCAACTTTCTTGCTTCTTTGACCTTTTTGCCTAAATGTCAGCCACACAGTTCAAACTTACACTGCAGCTACTATGTGCGACTGTGCAGCTAGTTACATTTAAACCCATTTATGCACAAAGATAACAACTGGATGGATTTTTTGGGACTGTTTTGCCTCATTACATCAGCGTTACTTCAGTCCTCTCCTCATCTGAAGCACTGCATCACACACATGTCACTCCATGACACTAAACATGAGGCTCCTTAATGAGAACTTTCTTCTTTTTTTCTCCAAGAACCAAGACAAGTCTGGCAGGTTGCCTCGTTCCATGTTACATCTTGGTTCCTTGGCCCCTAAACAAGCATTTAACTGTGTAACCTGCCTCTGATATTCTGCACAGGTCTTTTGTCATGTAAATCCTAACGCCGACTCGTTGTCGCCTGTGTGGGCAGACTTTTTTTTCCCTCTACCAAGCAGCCCAAGCTTCTACTCTCTGGAGCAAATTAAGATCAATCTTGTGCGCTGAGCAACTTTCACTCGCAGCTCCAAAAACACGTTGAAGTTTAGCAGCGTGGCACAAACCGGTGCGCCAAGTGGCTAAAAAAACACACACGTCCCGTGCGCGCAATCATTCGTTTGTAAACTACGAGAGGAAAAAAGTTCTCATGTTGTTTCCTTAAACTGGCAAATAACAACACCATCTAACACCGGGCTGCTTTCCAGGTTCCCCTTTTTTTCCAGCAAAACCATGGAGCCCACATGTCTTCATCGTGAGCTCCATTTCTCCCCCTGGTTTTCCAACTTCCACCCGGCCGGCTCGCAGCCCTGTGGCCGCCCCTGTAGGCACCATTCAAAGAGGGAACTGCTCCTTTTGGGGAGGAGGAGTAGTGGACACACACACACACACACACACACACACACATACACATACACAAATGTTGCTGCAACTTCGCAACGACGCCTAAAGCCTTTTTCCAGGGCAGTCCTGAAAGAAGAGAACACCCATGGAAGAAACAATACACCCCGACATCCAGAGCACCGGAGAGAGGCCACATGAGGTGAACGCTGGAGGAGACACCGCACACGGACCGCGCAAGGTGCAAATCCAGCCGGTAGCTCCTCCACTATCTGTTATCGCAGCCTACTTATTGCTCTGAGCAACTGCACTTCAGTGTAATCTGAGTGCTCCGGCGCCTCACACATGCACCCCACCGAAAGAAAGAAAGAAAGAACATGCAAGATGATTAAAGTGAGCGCCTTTTTTTTTCTTTTTTTTTTTTTTTTACCTTGCTTGGATGGACCACAGAACAGCGAAAGAAGACAGAACAGCCAAATAGTACTCTCCACCGCCATGTACAGCCTTTGATTTCCACCAGTGGGGTAGCAGCGTGCGTCTATACAACCCGCTATACCGTTATAGCGACATGCATATGTTGGAATCCGCTATTGTCTCCGCCGGTGCGTAAAGGAGTCTCTGTGAATGTTTCGCCCTCTTTGGTTCACACTCCCCTTGGCTTCTCCTAACAATGCGCTCGCATTATTTGGGGGAGAGCCGTCGTGTCTCTCGGCGCTTCAACGCCATGTTGCGAACGAATGTTAAGTGTGTGTTGGCTGCTGGTCCACACACACACTCACACACACAGACACACACGCGCGCGCACACACACATGCGCGCACACGCCCGTTCATCAGACACTGGCTGGCTGGTCGTCGCTGGAGTCCTGAAAAGCTGTCGGTGATTCTAACACACCCCTTCTTCCCCCTTTTTTTTCTTTTTTTATTCAACTCTACGCTTTCTACCAAGACTTGGAGGATCCGTTTACGCACAAAGCAGCAAAAAATGTGTCCAAATATTTATATTTTTTTCTCTCTCTTTTTTTTTTTTTTTTACCCCAGGCGCCCTCTCTGTCTGTCTGGGATGATGAATTCGTTAGGGCAACGCTTCAGTCTCTGCTCGAGCAAAACGAAGTGTGGAGAATGGTCTGGCTAAGTGGTTATCTGTAATGACTGCTAATGCGTTGCCCTGAATGAACCCGATGTTGGAGACGCTGCTGCTGCTGCTGCTGCTGCTGTTTATGAGCGCTCACACATCAAACATGATCCTTTTTTTTTTCTTCTTCTTTTAAATCATGCAGCACCTCAGTTATTCATGCAATTTGCTCAGTGTGTCTTTGTGGTGTTTGGATCTTGTTTGTTTGTGTGAGCATGCACCTTTGTTAGTGGCTGTGTGGATGCCTGTGTGTGCAAGTCTGAGTAAGAAGAAGAGAGAGAGAGAAAAAAAAGGGAAAAAAATGGAGAGCAGGAGAGGCACATGTGCTCCCTGAGCAAGAGCAGGCAAGAGGAAGAGGAGGAGGTGGGCATGGGTGATGGGTGGGTGGGGTAGTGGGGCATCGGTGGTGTGCATCCCAATCAATCAACCAGCTCGCCTCCTGCTTCTGAGTGCTGAGGGACCCACTGACTTTTGCATGCAAACACACAGAAGGAGCCAGCTGGAGCCCAGCCTTCCCAGAGCAGACAAAGACTCGCCTCGTGCAGCGCTCTCAGCATCACTGATACCAGCAGCATCCCCACATTCACCAGAGATGTGCAGGATGGAGAAGGGAAATATAAAAAATAAAAAAAACACACACAAAAGCCAGAGACTTTCACCTGACGGATGCTGCAGCAGTTTGCATGCACGTCGTCAGAGCTGCTACTTGTTACACTGTAATGAGCAAAGCATTGTTTCTTTGAAGTTCCACGGTGCCGTATGGACCTTTTGATGTGACATCCAGGCTACTTATGGATTTACTTGTTGAGATGAAAAGAAAGCCCACTGCAGATTATTATGAGGTCATCTTGTACCACAATGTGTGCTTTTAAAGACAGACGTTTTTTTTTTTTTTTTTCAAAAATGGATCTACAGCATGCAGGGGGAGAAAGGCTTTATATTACCTTCTGCCTACAACACTGAGAAGAAAGACAAGCAATCATAAAAGGCTGTAATGAAGGAGTTCCCTTTGGTAATAATATCTTGTCTAGCCAGATTTCTGGTCTCAGTGTATTCATTTAATACTGATGGGAGATTGATTTGAGCTGATGAAATGAAATGGGATGGATGCATTTCCCAGGTGTCTGATTAAAGCAAATGTCTGGGCCATCAGATTATGTGATTGCATTGGAAAACTAATAGCACGGCTGTGTCCTCTGTGATTGTGGTCAAGCTGTAATTTCCCTGCCTCTCCTTTTTCCTCCCCAGCTGCCGTAAAATAATGAACACAAACTATCAGCTGCTTGCAAATTTTTGGAGTTTTTGGCCGTGTGCCTCCATCTGTCACACTGTGTAGTACGTGTGCTGCATGTGCTCCATGGGAAGTCCTAACAAATAGAAGCGGTGCACCTGTGCATACCAAAACATGACTATACAATACAAAGTTTACGTACGGTGGCCAATTAGAACCTCAAAACCGGCTCTGATGGAAGGGAAGACCTGCTCCGAGTTATGTTTTTAATTACGAGTAACCCGACTCCCTCAATCCACAAACCAAGCGAAATGCTGCAGCAACAGTTGAAGGCTATTTGTTAGCCCTGACAGACGCGGCTGGCCGTGCACTGTGCCGCGTTTCTGTTGTGAGACTGGTGGCTCTGTGATTGAACATTGTCCTCTGATGAACATATTTAAGCTGTTCTGTACAAGATGACAACAATGTGCTCCAGGATTTATTACAGAACTTTTTTTTGTTTTTTTGTTCAACAAGCACAAGTTTCTCTTCACAATGAAAGGAAGGCAGGACAGCCAAAGACAGAGCAGGCCAATTGCTGAGAAAATTATTTGCACATTTGATGCTTTGCCCACTGAGACCAATTAGGATAGTAAACTTGTCTGGCTTGAGTCAAGCAGTGAGAGATTTTTAGTAGTTTCTCTTGGCTGTAAGATGTAGTTTGGCTTTGCTGTGTTTCTTTGAAGACAAATTAGATGTTTTTTTTCTGCTACAAACAATGTTGTAATTGGTTAGTGAGGAGCTGAGCAACGGTGCACTCCACAAAGTGTCCATCTTTGTGAAAAAGTGCACGGAATGAGATTAATATGTTGTTTTTCTAGAACACCTATGCTGTCTGAGCAATATTCTCGGGTTAAATGACATAAAACTGCAATCTGCTTTTAATGTAATTACTGTCGTGCACTTTGACTTTATCTTTTTTAATGGCATCATTACTGTAATAGTCATTTACACAGAAAAAAATATGGATTCTGAATTATACTGTAAATATACAGTTGATAAAGAATTAATGACGCACGTGACATGAACAAAAAGCGGAAATACAACAAACGAAATAAAATTCAATTAGTCCTAATTATAAAACCATCGCTTGCATATTTGGCACAAAGATACATTATCTGTTTTAGCTTTGCATAATGTATATGAGCATTTATTTTACCAATTACACGGCACTAAAAGAGGCTAAATTAATATTAGAGACCTCGAGCAGAAGCAAACTAAAAGTAAAATGAATAGTTCAAATGTAATAGCATGGGCTTTCTGGCTTCTGTCTGCGAGCTAAAGGCTCGTTTACGTGGGCTGCCTAATGATGATAGCCTACTTATCATTCATTAGCACCATTTGTCAAGAACAAATATTTAGTGCTTAGTGATAGATTACAATTATTGCGAAGACATCATAAGCAAAAGTAGCTAGTCTGTAGCCAACACAAGATTAGATTAGTGTGTTTTTCTTGAAGGAATCGTGCATTTTAAAGAACTATATACTGAGGATTTCATTAAAAGCTTCATTAGCCACTCTGCGGTGCACGGATGACAAAGTGCTCATATGCCAGCGTGATGCATGTACCATCACAAGTTGGTATTTCATGTGCCATTTACCTCTCTTTGTTTATGATTATGTGTTCTTTTGACCAAGTTAAAGAGTTGGAAAATAGCATTTCAATGATTTAAAACGCTCATTATTATTTCTATCATCCCTGCAGTGGTGGGTCCTGCTGTTTGAGATTCAGCGTCGGATTATATTCAGCGATCAATGAGGCTGTGTGGCAGTCAGTCACTGCCACAATTACTGGCCCAGTAAAATATGTTAATGTAATTCTGTTTCTCTGGTTCTGTTATTATTTGACCTATCAATCAGTGGCCATTCTGTTTCAGGAGTATTTCAGTCACACCACTATCTTGTTTTCTGTTGCACTGTTTTATGAAGCTTTATTTAACCATGCCAGTTTTTATGGTTTGTTTTAACAGAAGCTATACATAAAAAGTAGTTTAAGCAATTTTGAAAAGCAGGATAGAAATCAGAACAGTTAAAATGTGATTAGAAATAAAACCTGACATAGGATCATGTGTTTGTTTTTTTCCTCCACATTGTTTGTGTCCTTGTAGGCCACAAGGACTCCAGTTGTGAATCTGTGAGGTTAGTGTATTTAAATGCTGAGTACAGTATCCTCCGAGGTGGCTGTCTTTCATCTTCTTCAAGGTCAGAGACACCCAACTCCATCTGACAGAGGAGCGTCTCCTGAATAGGTAAGAAAACACCGGCGGACTGACTGACAGACAGAGGGAACAGTGCCCTCAGCTGGAGGCGTCGGGGAACGAGCACTTCAAGGCTCAGACATGCATGTACAGTACCGAATACAAAGGGAGCCGTTCTGATCAGGATGTAGAAGGTAGTGCACAGGAAGCCTCACTCCTACAGTCAGAGAAAAGAATTGCTTTTCACTCTAACTTTTCTCACATTAGGTTTCTTCGGCTCGCACAGTTTGAGAATCCGCTCAACTTTTCTGTCGCTGTAAAATAACCGTCGTACGACTCCCATTTCAAGCTGGGTTTAATCAACTACTGTGAAATGTTTAGAGAACAAACACTGTACGCCACGGTCCATGGTTCATGTTTGGACATGTAAATGAGCTTGGTGTATGATTGCCTTACCACAATGTTATTCCACCTCCTTCCGCTGGAGGGGTGCCCTCCGCATGCTTGGTCTGGAGGAAAGCGTCTCCATAGAAACTAAGACAACGGTGGCACATGGGCTTAGAGGGTGACTGGGCAAATGGTTTTTCTTTTGGAGGACAATGACACTATGGTGCACTGGCGCTGTGCCGCAATTGAGAGCATCAAGCAGGGATATTGAATGTCAAACAACAGACACTTATTTTTACCTCATTTAAAGTGCGTTTACACACTCAGTGATGAAGATAAATAAAATGTACTCACGCATTTAATACGAAACAAGTAGAGGAAGAATGTGTGTGTGTAGGTGTGTGTGTGTGTGTGTGTGTGTGTGCTGAACCTCCAACTTTTACTGATGATTTTCACTTTAATGATTTTTTTTTTGCACAGAGCAGAAACAAAATGTGACACTTTCCAA